AGTTTGGCGGTTCGAATCCCTAGTGCCACGTAATGGAGTGAGCTCCCGTTACTTGTCCCAGCTTTTGCCAACCTAGCCGTTCGAAAGCATCTAAAAATGCAAGTAGAAAAATAGGGAACACCTTGGTGGGAAGGTAACAGCGTTCTGTGTGCCTTTGCCATCTAGTTATACTGGCCGCATGACCATGGAGACATCTTTGGACAGCACTGGCTCTTCGGCTTTGAAACGGAGATGAGCACCGCCCCCTAGAGTCCGAAACGACTAGCACATATGTGTGAGGGGAACTTTACCTTTTAAACTGAAGATGGCTAATGCCTTCAGAGACCTTTAAGGATAAAGAACCTCTTTAGATACAACCATCTGGGTGAGATACAGCTGAATTACAACACCAGGAAGAGAATTTGCTGCAGTGGATTTCGGTTCTCCTTATTTGTTATTCCTAAACCTTTTTAATAAGAACATGGAAAAAAAAATGCAAGGAAATACAGCTGGAAAACCTCATCTGGTAGCACTTTATCATAAATGGACATGAATTAATACTAAATTACAATGAATTTTCTATGAAATTACATATTACATTCATGCCATATCAGGATCCAAAATGGAAGGAGGGGCTTGGCTTATGCCCACTGATACTCCAATACATTCTCAAGGAATTATTGTCGATTCAACCCTTAATGTAAAGTGATTGATTTAAACCTCTCAACTTTTTAAAACAGAGGGTATCCAGCCTTGGTAACTTTAAGACCTGTGGATTTCGACACCCCAAAAATTCCCCATCCATCCATTCTGGCTGGGGAATTCTGGGAGTTGAAGTTCACAAGTCTGAAAGTTGCTAGGGATGAACACCTCTGCTTTAAAAAGTCAAAAGAAGGAGTAGATGGTACATGTGTTTTGTGAGCAAAGAGAAAGGAATTCTTAGAACTGACACTTGGATATGTTGTTGAATAGTAAAATGGGCAAAACGTTCATCTTGGAAGTTCAAGATTTGTGTGGGGGTTGCAGTGTAAGGAAAGTGTACGAAACATTGGATAAGTTTTGGCTAGCAAGGAAGACAAGCCCTCGAAGGGAAAACTTTCTGCCCCACTTATTACAGCATCAGAAAAAAGGAATCAGATTGTTTGAAAGCACACAGATTATAAATAAAATTATTGGTGCCTTAGTTCTCTGTTCAAAACATTGTCAGCATTCCCCTCCACCCCCCTGGGAGGGAAAATTACATTCATGTCAGGAAAATGGAGTTACAGTATGTATTTTCCTAAGTCACAGTCCCACAAATCGCAGCTCGTAGGTTGGTTGAGACCTCCCTCCCTTTCATTTTTGCACATTGGAGACATTTTCCTGAGCACAATGCACAAAATGAAATTAACAAACTGTCTCCGAGGGGATGTTTGAAGGAAGAGAGATGGAGCGAGAGGTTTCAGTCAGCCTAAGTCAGTGTTTCTCAACCTTGGCAACTTGAAGATGTCCGGACTTCAACTCCCAGAATTCCCCAGCCAGC